AGCTCCGGCCCGGGGCTCTGTACCCCGGGCTCCTGCAGGTGAGCGGGAGACCCGGACGGCTCGCCTCGGGGGGAGGCACCGGGGTCGGGGAGCGAGCCGAGCCCTCATGTCCCTGAGACCAGGGTGACCTGCGTCGGGTGGCTTCATCCCTGGAGCTGGCAGAGAGAACCCTGGACACGAGGACAGGGACCTTGGCCCCGCAGAATGCTGGGAAGGGCGTGCGGGAGGAAGGGCAGGGGTCTCCTGGACCTGGCGCTGCGCGGGGCCTGGGAGGGCGGTGGGGGCAGGGAGCGTGGTTTGGAAGAGCGGAGCCCAGGACTTTGAACCTGTTCGCTCCGGTTTATCTCCCTACGCAGAATTCGTCTTTCCTGCGCCGATAGACGAGCACCCCCAATCCATTAGAATGGGAGTCCCCAGATTTTATTCAATCTAAGAATTGGGAAGGTTTCCCCCTGGCGCCGGGGGGCGGGGGGTCAAAATTGAATGAACCTAGAAAAGCTCTCCAAATTCCCTGCCCACCGGACAGTTCCGACCCCAGAGGGCAGGGTAGAACCGCCCCTATGGGTGTCCGAGGCTGTAACTCTTTACTGGAAAGCCTAGGCTTTCTCCCGCGAGCGGCTGGTGGTTTTGAACTGCAGACCTTGCTGTTTGCAACGCGAGGGGTAACCACAACGCCACCGGGATTTCTTTCCTTGCTGGCAAGAGGAGGTGACGGTGCAGGGCTTGCCCAGGGGGAGAGGAGGGCAGAGATGCGGAGAGCCCACAAGTGAGGTATCCGAGGAGGGGGCCAAGATACCTGGGGACCAGAGGAAAGGAGGGCGGGGAGAACAGGAGGAGAAGTCTGAAAAGCTGGAAAGGTCCGGGATGGGGTCACGGGCGGCAAAAACCCAGAGTCCCAGGCTTCAGGTATCTGCTAACGGGCCATGTGGGGAAGGGGCTGCGCTGGGCGGGAACCATATTCCAGCAGCAAAGCAGGGAAGGGGGAGGCCAAGCAGAAATCGAGGGCTTTCTCTACGTTTGTGGGAGGGAGGCGATTGGTAAAAGGTCCCCATTCAAAAATAAATAAAAATCCGCGGGCTCCGGGGACCTGGAACCGGATTCTATACGGGAGAAATGGTGGATTCCCAGCTGGATCCTCTACGGAATGTGGGCAGAGCTGGGCTTACAAGGGGTGTGGCTGGATGCTGTGGGGCGGGGCGGGGGGTGTTTGGGAAGCAAAACATTTGTTGATCGGTTAGCTGTTTTCGTTGTCTTTTGTCGCGGTGAGTTGTCCCGGGATTCTAGTTTGGGGTTCTACCAGGATTAAGGGACTAGGCGCTGGAGGGTGTTGGAGGAGGAAGATTGGGGGGCGGGGGAGGAGAGGCATCTGGGCTTGGGAGTGTCTAACCAAACTCACTGCCAGGGAGTCCATGGAGACTCCCAGCAACGCCATCAGGTGGAGTGGATCTGCCCCTGTCGGTTTCCGAGGCTATAAATCATTTTTTTGTTCCCCCACATCTAACTTGTATTATTTCATGGACAAACACGCAGAAAGTAGGCTGTGGTATAGAAATCTTCCAAGAGTCTTTTTGTTTTGTTTTGTTTTGTTTTGTTTTGTTTTTTCCAAGAGTCTTAAGAAGCCACAGATATTTCCAGGAACTGGCTTCCTGGGTGCCGCTGATCTGTGATCTCTAGTTAATCCTCAGCTCCTGCTCCCAGGAAGGCAGCAAATCCTCATTTGAGTCCCCGTCATGTGGCACCAAGACAGGAAACATTGCTTGCAAATCCATCCCTGTCTCTCCAAGCTTCACCTTGGGGCCCCATGGATCCCTTAGCCTTGGTGTGGCCAGCTTTCCCAATAGTGTCCCATCTGTCTTCCACGGTTTGAAAGCCTGAAGTTCCATTTTATGTTGACCATGGCCAGGGGCCAGGTCCGTAGAAGAGATACTGAAAGTAACCTGACCCCCCTCTCTCGGGACATTTAAAATTTAAGCCTTCAGCTGGAGCCCAGCCGGAAACGGTGAGGTAGTAAAATCTTGACGGGAGTACAAAGCCTCATCTTCCTCCTGAAGATTCGAACATCTGGCCTTAGGGTTAGCAGCCCAATGCGTAGCCCACTACCCCATCAGGGCTCAGGAGGGGTGGGTCTCTTTCTGCATGGGGCAGAGGGGGACACTTGTCATCAGAGCTGAAACCAGGCCTGGTGACCAGACCCTACAGCCCCGCCCCACCTCCCTCCTCAGCTGAGTAAGAAGTATGGCCCTGTGTTCACCGTGCACCTGGGGCCCTGGCGGCGCGTGGTGGTCCTGGTTGGGCACCAGACGGTGCGCGAGGCACTGGGAGACCAAGCCGAGGAGTTCAGCGGTCGAGGGACGTTGGCGACACTGGACCGGACCTTTGATGGCCATGGTGAGTTGGGAAGAAGGGTGCTGTGGGTTGGGGCTGGCTCCTGGACTCACGCCCCACCCACTGCTTCCTGGCACCTGAGCTTGGCGCACAAGGTGTAGCCCCTGTTGGCTTGTCTGTAAAACGGGCCATCAGCATAAAGATCGTGCTGTCCTGAGGATTGAATGAGGGCCTGGCCATGCACCAAGTTAAAATTCAAAACCGAGCCCACTGCCATTAAGTTGATTCTGCCTCGTAGGCGCCCTTGATGGCGTCTCCAGGGCTGTGAGTCTTCATGGGGGCAGACAGGCTCCTTCTCTGTCAGAGGGGCTGGCGCGGGTAGCAACCTAATACCTGTTCCATCCACATCGCCACCAGGGCCCAAGAAAGAGCTCGAAGACTATTGCAGTGTTTAAGCGTCGCTCCAGCTGAGGAGCGTGGCAGGAGGCAGGGGCAAGGGACCAGGAAATGCTAGACGTTGCGTCTATAAGAACCATGTCATGTGTGCAGAGGTTTATTGTAGACATTGATGGAGTGAAACTCAGGTTTGACACCCCATCGGGTGGATTTGACTCCCAGGAACGCAGAGTGACTTGTGGGTTTGAACCACGGACCTCGAGGTTATCAGTCCAATGCTAACCCACCAGGCCTCCTTTTGACACCCATACCCACCGCCATCGAGTCAATTTTGACCCATAGTGACCCGGTAGGGTAGAGAAGAACTGTCCTTTGGGTTTCTGAGGCTGTAACACAATTATGGGAGCAGGCAGCCTCATCTTTCTCCTGCAGAGCAGCTGGTGGGTTCAAACTACTGACCTTGCAGTCAGCAGCCCAATGTGTATACCACTGTACCACCAGGGCTCAATTTGGAAACCATAAACTTGTTTAAGGAGCCCTGGTGGCATAGTGGGTTATTTGTTGGGCTGCTACTGGCAAGGACAGCAGTTCGAAGCCACCAGCCACTGTGTCAGAGAAAGGTGAGGCTTTCTACTCCCATAAAGAGTTACAGTCTTGGAAACACACAGCGGCAGTTCTATCCTGTCCTATAAGGTCCCTGTGAGTCCAAATGAAATCGATGGTAGATAGTGAGTGAGTTTGGTGGCAGAGTGGGCTGCGTGTTGGGCGGTGAACCCGCAAGGTCAGCAGTTCAAAACCACAGGCCGTTCCGAAGGAGAAAGTGGAGGCTGACTGCTTCTGTCAAGAATTAGTCTCAGAAGCCCACGGGGACAGTTCCACCCTGTCCTAGTGGGTGACGATGAGTCTGGCTCTGGTTTGGAAACTTTTTAACCGTCATTTATGGCAAGGTAGTTATGGTGAGGGCTGCAAATAAGACCTCAGAACATTCCTTAGAACCGGAGAATCGGAATGAGCACTGACGGCGTCGGTGCAATGGTTAGAGTCCAACCCCCTAGAGCTTCCAGCTTGTACCCTTAACAAGGGGTCTCTTGGAAGAAGGGCTTACCTGGAGGAGGTCCCTTGTAGCTGGGGTGCAAGATCAGCCACAGGGAGTAGAAAGTTCTGGGCATTTGCTGAATGTGTTGTCTTGGCCCCCTGGGGACAGGGCCCAAGCTGGGTGGGGGAACTACAGGGAGGACATGAGGGCTGTGGAGGCCTGGAGGGAGGGGGCACCTGGCAGGAGGTGACCTGAAGGGCAAGAGATGTCCAGGGGGGCTTCCTGGCGGAGGGGGTGTCTAAGCTGAGACTCAAGGGCGTTCGGGGCAGAAGGAACACATGAGAGTGTGGACAGGAGAGGAAAAGCATGCATCCATTCATTATCATGTTCCTTATGCCTGCCCTGTCTAGCGGGTACTGGGCCAGCCCCCTTCTTCCCCCCCTTCCCCCCCAGGTGACTGGCTCCACGTGCTACCCTCTCATAATCTGAATAAGACTGGAGAGAAGTAGAAAAAGAGATCTGGACGTAGGGCACTTGGGGGGTGGGAGGCCTGAGGGGGAGAGAGTCAGGGAACCGGGAGGCTGGAGAAGTGAGTGATCCCCGCAGAAGGAACAGCACCAGGTGGGGGGCGTGGTGGCTTTGAGGAAGTGAGAGGAGCCGGATGAGTAATGAGGTTCAGATGGCAGAAGTTTCAGGCGTCCAGTCTTGCAGCCTGTGAGTCATGCCAGACGGAGGGTTGGTGGGGATTTTTATTTGTCGGGGAGCAAGGAAGAGGTGTGGTCAGAGGAGAAAGATCTTCTGGGAGTTTTGGGAGCCCAGAAAGAGGCTGGGTCTGGGCCAGTGAGGGGAGGAGGGGACTGTTAGCCAGCTACTGTCGGCAGGGTTGGGAGAAATGACCACGGTGAGGCCCAGGGCTCTGGTGGCCAGGGACAGGAAGGCAAGGCTGGGACAGAGGCAGGGAGGAGGAGCAGGCTCGGGAGGGCCTCTGAAGTCAGCTTGGGACACAGGAGGGGAAGGGCAGGGGACACCATCTCTCCATGGATGGGGGGCGGCTGTCTGGAGCAGCAGGTGTCTTAGAGGAAGAAGGAAAACAAATGCAGTGTCTTACCCCGCCCTCCCCACCCCACCCTCAGATCCCATTTCAACTTCATTTTGGCAAAATGCAGGGGGCCGGGGACACAGGGTCCTCATAAACGCAGAGAAGGGTGGATAGACAGGAAGCAGGAAGAGAGGATGGGCCATGTTTTGGGTGGTACTTGCTGTTGGGCCAATTCCAACTCATAGTGATCTGTGCAGAGGTCTGGGGGTGGGGGAAGGCCTAACCCTAGCTCCCACCCAGGGACTCGTGGAAGTAAACGGCAGTCAATTCCGATTTGAAATAGTCCTATAGGACAGGGTAGAATTGCCCCCATAGGATTTCCTAGGTTAAAATCTTTATAGGATAGGCAGCCTCATCATGTTCCCAAGGAGTGGCTGTTGGTTTTGAACCATCCACCTCTCAGTTAGAAGCTCCGATGTTCAACCCACTGTGCCACCAGGACTCCTGGAAGAAGGTCCTAAAATTCACGCCTCACCGCTGTGGAGTTGATTGCGGCTCATAGCAACCCCATAGGGCAGAGAAGAATTGCCCCTGTCAGCTTCCAAGACGGAAGTTCTAGGAGAGTGGAAAGCCTCCTCTTCCTCCCTCGGGGTTGCTGGGGGCTTTGAGCTGCTGACCTTGCAGCTAGCAGCCCGGCGTGTAGCCACTCCACCACCGGGGCTCCTGGGAAGAGCGAAAAAAACAGGATGGAAGGAAGGAGGAAATCTCCACTCAGTCGGCCCAGGGAGTCCCAAAGTTCCAAATTACCAACTTCTCAGGAGCACACTGAGAAGGAGACCTGGTGGCATCACGGTTGCACGCTGGGCCGCTAATCCTAAGCCTGGCAGTTCGAAATCACCAGCTGCCCCTCTGCAGGGCTTGGTATGCACCCCAGGACTCTGCATGGAGTCCCCTTGGGAGGAGGAGGGGTGGCTATGGGGCGATGGGGAGAAGGGCCAGTCCCTCCCTGAGTGAGTGTATCCATCACAGGCGTTTTCTTCTCCAACGGGGAGCGGTGGAAGCAGCTGCGGAAATTCACCATGCTGGCCCTGCGCGACATGGGCATAGGGAAGCAAGAAGGCGAGGTGCTGATCCGGGCCGAGGCCCAGTGTCTGGTGGAGGCCTTCCGGGAGATGGAAGGTCAGTTCAGGGTCCCCAGGCCCTGCCGGAAGGAAGGAGGGATGCCTCAGACTCCGGGGCTGGTCTGGGGGCTCTGTCCACCTCTCCCTCAGTCCACCTCTCCCTCTGCCCTGCGTCTCTGTCCTGCTGTGTCCGAGAGCCTTTGTGTCAGGCCGTCCTTTTCTGTTTCTCTGGTACTGTCAGAGGCACCCTGGTGGCACAGTGGTTCAATCACCCCTCTGCTAGTCACAGGGTCGCTGGTTCTAATCCACTGGCCACTGCCTGGGAGAAAGATGTGGCTGGCTGCTTCCAGGGAAGAGCTACTGGCTCGAAAGCCCTCCGGGGCAGCTCTGCTCTGCCCTGCAGGTGCTGGGACATTGGGTTCAAGTTTGTTCTGTTTTTCTTTTGTTTTTTTTTCAACTTTGTTAGTATTCACTTATTTCATTGGGGGCTCATATAGCTCTTATCACAATCCACACATCCATCCATGGTGTCATTTTCAAAACATTTTCTTTCTACTTTCAACCCTTGGTATCAGTTCCTGTTCATCCCCGCCCCGCCCCTTCCTCCCTCCTGAACCCTTGATAAATTTAAGATTTTGTTTCATGTCTTACACCAGCCACTGTCTCCCTTCACCCACTTTTCTGTTCGTCCCCCTGAGGGGCGGTGATGTCAGCAGAGTGATCAGTTCCCCCTTTCTCCTCCCACCTTCCACTTCCCCTCCTGGTATCGCTACTCTCATTATTGGGCCTGTGGAGTTTATCTGTCCTGGATTCCCTGTGTTGTGAGCTCTTATCTGTACTGGTGCTTTTTTTTTTTTTTAATCATTTTATTGGGTTGCTGGAGGTCCCAGGAAAGCATTCTGTGGGCACAGGGCAAAGTGGCCACGTTTTTCTGTGACCAATGAGGTGGCTGCATGCCCCAGCTCACCCAGGAGTGGGCACTGGTGCCCCCAGGGCCCTGCCCTGAGGGGTCTTACAGCCTGACATAACGAACCTTGCTCATTGAGTCCTGCTGCCACCTCAGTGACGCATGTCCGGCAGCTGGTGCCCAGCGTCCCCGCACATGCACGGCTCTTCCTGACGGAGACTGGGATAAATCAATAAAAATGTCCTGAAAAGTGAAAAAAAAAAAAAAAATCATTTTATTGGGGGCTCATCCAACTCTTATCACAATCCATACATACATCAATTGTATAAAGCACATTTGTACATTTGCTACCCTCATCATTCTCAAAATATTTGCACTCCACGTAAGTCCCTGGTATCAGCTCCTCGTTTTTACTCCTCCCTCCCCTCTCCCCACTTCCTCATGAACCCTTGATAATTTATAAATTATTATTTTGTCACATCTTACGCTGTCTGAGCTCTCCCTTCACCTACTTTTCTGTTGTCCGTCCCCCAGGGAGGAGGTTTTATATAGATCCTTATAATCAGTTCCCCCTTTCCAACCCACCTCCCCTCCACCCTCCCAGTATCGCCACTGTCACCACTGGTCCTGTAGGGCACATCCGCCCTGGATTCCCGGTGTTTCCAGTTCCTATCTGTACCAGTGTATGTCCTCTGGTCTAGCCAGACTTGTAAGGTAGAATTGGGAGCTTTTTTTTAAATAGCTAATTGTATATATTAGTTAACTTGGAACTTTTTTAAACCTGATTCTAAAATGTTCTAAGTTTAGCAGTTGGGCTATCCATACGACAGCATTTTACCGGAGCAGCTTTTATGGGTGGGTTAGATGCGAAAGCTCCCTCTCTGCTCCTATCTTTGTCTCTTTGGCCTTTGCTCTTGTTCCCTAAGAGGTAACTCGAAACTCTTGGACTATATTTTGTTCTTTGATAATAATTGAGGCACCTTTGTTATCGAAACATCTGAGAGCGATGCTAATGGTGGTGAGCCTGCAGGCCTGACCTCTTCACAAGACCTGTAGCCTCCGGATCAATCAATGGCATCTATGTAATGAAGCCAATAAAGACTTGGGACGTGGCAGCCCCAGGAGCTCCATGGTTGGCGAAAGACAGCCGTGCATTTGGGACGATAGCACCCTTGGTAGGTCTGGTAGTGCGGCAGGTTCAGCATTGGGCAGCCAACTGAAAGGTCAGCGGTTCAAGCCCACCAGCTGCTCTGCAGGAGTAAAATGATACTGTCTGTTCCTGTGAAGACTTATAGTCTCAGAGACCTACAGAGCCGTTCAACTGCCCTACGGGGTTAGCATAGGAGCCCTGGTGGCATAGTGGTTAGGCATTGGTCTGCGATCCACATGGTCGGCCGTTTGAAACCACCAGCCGCTCCGAGGGAGAAAGACTGGGCTTTCTACTCCCGTGAACAGTTAGAGTCTCCGAAGCCCACAGGGAGGTCTCCATGAGTCAGCAGTGGCTCGTGGCACCGAGAGAGAGGATTGCCATGAATCTGAATCGACTCAGTGCCAGGGGGGTTGGCCTGGTTTGGGTTTGGGGACCTAAAAGGTCCTCATTGGGGACCCTGTCAGACATGCCTCTTTGTTTTCTTTGTTGTTATAAGAACGCTGGAATCCTAAATACTAAAGCCCTTCCCTTAAGTTCTGTGAATGGTTCCAGCCAAACCGCGCGCACGCCCAGAGGAGTAGGGGAGCAGCACTCAGAAGTGAGGGCGCCCACAGGGGACTTCCAGCTCAAGTTGGAGGGGGAGAGAGAAGCCCCTGAACCCATGGCCAGGGAGCTCCCATCGGCTGATCGGAAGGAAAGGGTAGCTTGAAGGACCGTGTCCTTCTTCACTTGTGAGATCTGACCTCGCTCCAGGTCGCAGGGTCCCCAGACGAAACAAAACCCAAAGGTCACTTCCTTTCAAAGTCAATTCGGGCTGATAGTGACCCTATGCGAAGGTCCATCTTTGGTGGGAGTAGATGATCTCATCTCTCTCATACTAATCAATCATTTGGTTGATTCTGGAATGTTCCACAGAGCACGATCTTTGCCTCTCCCTTCTCATTCTCTCTCTCTCCCTCCCTCCCTCCCTCTCTGACTGTCTCATCTGTCTCTGGTCTTGCTCACCCCCCCACCCCACTCCATTTGAAGGGCTTCAAAAAGAATTAAAAGATACTAGAATTCCCTTGTGAACCTTTTGAAGGCCTCTCACATTCCCGTCAGGCCTCCCACCCCCGCCCCTTCCCAGTTAGCTGCTTGCTGCCAGTGTCCATCAGAGCCGCCCCTTGCCGCCCCTCCCCAGGACAGCCATTTGACCCATCTCTGCTGCTGGCCCAGGCCACCTCCAACGTCATCTGCTCCCTGGTCTTCGGCGTCCGCTTCCCCTACACGGACAAGGAATTCCAGGCCGTGGTCCGAGCTGCTAGTGGCATGCTGCTGGAGATAAGTTCCCCGTGGGGCCAGGTAAGTGGGTGGGACCCTGACCTGTGCCGCTCCCCCAGAAACGTTCCTGCCCCAGCTCTTGTAGGTATCCCCCAGAGCACCCGTGAGGGGCCAGGTCTCCACGAGAACCAGCTGCCCCCATATCTCCCCACAGTGCCACGAGATGTTCTCCTGGTTCCTGCAGCTGCTGCCGGGCTCCCAGGCCCAGCTCCTCAGCCACGTGGACACCCTGGCTGCCTTTACTGTCTGGCAGATCCAGCAGCATCGGGACAACCTGGACACCTCGGGGCCCGCTCGGGATGTCGTCGATGCCTTCCTGCTGAAGATGGCCCAGGTGGGGGTCCCCCCGCCCCCCTTGAATAGGGCAGGGGGCCTCACTAGCCTCCACGCCAGTGGGGTTTTACGGAGCGCCTCCGTCAGCTCTTTGATTCTTGGTCTGTCTGTCCAAATGTAAGCCTCCCTGTGTGTCTGTCTGTATGGCTGTGGATGTGTCTGTGTGTCTGACTGTATGCCTGCCTCCCTGTGTGCATGTCTGATTGTGTGTTTGCATGCGCATGTCTCTTGGTGCATGGATGTGTGTGTGTCTGTCTGACTGTAAGCCTCCCTCTGTGTCATCTGTCTGAGTCCTTGTGTATGTGTGTGTCTCTGTATCTACCTGTCCTCCATGTGTGGATGTGTGGGTGTGTGTGTGGGTGTGTGTGTGTTTAAATCTACCTGTGTATCAGTCTTTCAGTGTCTGCTTGCTGCCTTCCCCCACCCACCACCCTGTATATATTTGAATCTCTCCTTGCTTTCCCGCCAACCTTGGGGCCCCCATAGGACCACTCCATCCCTCTCTCTGTTCCTCCCCCACTTCCGCCCCCCCCACACACACACACACACATACACAGGACATCATGTGGATCACCACTGATTCACAATGAATGTCATGCAGTATCAAAATCCACTCTCACAATATAAGAAAATCTTGAATTCAGGGAACTCTTACAGGCAGCAAAAAGCAGAGTTGTACCAATTCTGGAATTATGGGAGATACTCAAATAAAGACAGCCGCCCTCCCTGTTGGTGGAGGGAAGGGGGGACTGGTTTTTCTGAACCCCCTGCTCCCTGTCTTTGTCTACTTGAAGCATTTCAATCAGAGAAAACTAGTTGCAGAAGCCCTCTGCCCAACCTCCCCAAACATTTCTCACGTCCCCGACAAAACTGGCTGCCCCAAAGCCAGTGTAGTCTGAGCCGCCCCTCTACCTGGTCTCTGCCAGCAGAAGCAGGACCCGAACACAGAGCTCACGGAGAAGAACTTCCTCATGACGGTCCTTTACCTGCTGTTTACCGGGACGGTGTCCATCAGCGCCACCATCAGCTATGGGCTCCTGCTCCTTCTAAAGCACCCTGAGGCCCAAGGTAGGAGTCGGTGCTCCCAGCCCAGGTCCAGGGAGCCGAAGTGGTGGGGGCGCGGGGCGGGGCAGCCCTGGCCAAAGCTGGGAGGTGAGGATGAGCGTGTGGGGTTCGGGGTGTCTGAGGAACAAGAAGGACAGGGAAGATTTCCGACCACAGGTGCTGGGTCACACAGGGCCTTGTGCCTGGCTGATGCCTGTGTGTCTTGCTCCCAGCTAGGGGGGACACCATGAGAGAACTTTGACCAGAGCGGTGAGGGGTGGGGGTGGGGGTGTTCCAACTGCATTTCTGAAGAGAAAAAACAGCCCTCCCCAGAGAGAGCAGGGCTGGGCCAGGCATTGGGAAGGAAAGATGGGAGAGGTGCTAGGATGACCGGGAGGGAGGTGTGCCCCAGGTGGACATGAGAATTCAGGAGGTGGTTCTTGTGGGGGACACTGAGACCAGTTGGGGGCCATTTGACTGGGAGGGGGCTTGAAGAACACCTGGAAGGAGACCACCCCACCTCCCACCCCCGCCCCGAGGCATCAGGTCAGGAATGGAGGTTTAAAAGGGGGCAGAGGTAGGACCCCATTGCCATGATGGTGAAGGAAGGGCATGTGCTGGGCAGCGGTGGCACCGGCCTTACAGGGTCAGTCGTGTGGGGCCCTTAGCAGGCTGGCCTGGAGGAGATGGGACTTGGGCCTCCGTGGCCTTGGTGCAGTGGGGGGGCCAGCTGTGCGTGCAGCTCTCTGGGCCTCATCTGGGAGATGAAAGTAGACAGTGGCTCCTACCTCGAGGGTTGGTGCAGGAAAGAAGAGGTGAGAGGTGCCAACACCAGAATGTTCTGTGGGACCTGGGCTCGCCTGCTGGCTGGGCTGGAGGGCACCTGCTCTCAGCCCGTCTGCCTGGCCGGGAGGCCTCCCCAGGGGAGAACCAGGGCTCTGGATGAATGGCTGCCGGCCTCAGGCCTCTTCCTCTTGGCTTTCAGAGCGCGTGCGCGCGGAGCTGGCACGGGAGCTGGGCACTGGGCGGGCACCCAGCCTGGGGGACCGGGCCCGCCTCCCCTACACGGACGCTGTGCTGCACGAGGTGCAGCGGCTGCTGGCGCTGGTGCCCATGGGCGTGCCCCGAACCCTCACGCAGACCACCCACTTCCGAGGGTATACCCTGCCCCAGGTGGGTACGTGGGGCAGCCCCAGGCCACGGCCAGGTTGTCCCTGCCTCCCTCCGTGCCTGGGTCGGAAAAAAACCCGTTTTCTGGCTTTTTGCTGAATCTTGGGGGCGGGGTGGGGGTGGGGGGGGTGTATGTCTGTCCTCTGCTCAAACTCCACTGTGACTGGCAAACTGCAAGGAGGTAGGGGGTTTCTTTTATCTATTTTATTTTTTTTAATTAAAAGATCATTTTGGGGGGCCTCTTACAGCTCTTATAACAAATCCGTACATCAATCGTATCGAGCATGATTGTACCTATGTTGCCATCATCATTTTCTAAACATTGACTTTCTATATGAACCCTTGGTATCAGCTCTTTTCTCCCTCCCTCCTCCACCCCCTTGATAAATTATAAGTTATTATTGTATTCCTATCTTACATCGACGGTGTCTCCCTTTCCCCGTGGTTTCTGTTGTCTGTCCCCCTGGGGGTGTGGTTATGTGTTGGTTCCCCGTTCCGCCCCTCCTCTCCCTACCCTCCTGGTATCACTACTCTCATTTCTGTTTCTGAGGGGTTATCTGACCTGGATTCCGTGTGTCATGAGCTCTTATGTGCATATTTATTTGATTTTTCATAGCGGGCTTGGTACGTGATTCACGCATGGCGCAATTCGGTCCTATTCGGAAGAGTTTGACCAGGGGAGGTGGCTTGCCCTCGATTATTTACTCTCTGTTTGGCATTTCTCTTGTCCTGTGAGGACAGGGAAGCGATTTGAGAATTGAGGGTACACCCAGGGCCAGTGGGATCCTCTCCTGTCCTGAACCCCGGACCCACTGTGTGTCACCGCGTATAAATGGCACTCGTCATCCACGCGAGGCAGGCAGTCTACCTATGAACACCATCCCTGCCCATGCATGGGAGGAGCAGTGCCGACCTGACCCCACCGGGGGGCACTGTCTCCCCAGAAACTGGAGGCCAGCCTTGCCTCTCCCTGTGGAATCAGAACTCTTGTGTAGGGCTCAGCTCTGCTGTTTTCTGTAGCGGTGGTTCGCAACCCTCCGCCACCCTTTCCTACAGTTCCTCATGCGGTAGTGACCCCC